ACATAAAAAATAAACAAAAAATATCAAAAAATTATGAATTTGAAAATGAAGTAGGGATCCTGCTATAAAAGTAATGAAATAAGAATTAAAACCACAATCACCAATTTATAAAATTTAATTCCTACTTTGGCAGCTTTATACATTTATCTATAAGCCAAAGTAAGGATTACATTTTATAAATTTGTGATTGTGGTTTAATTCTTGTAAATGTTGTAACTATTAGGAATATGGCTATACTGAAAGTTTATAGATATTGTGTCCATTCCATGGACATATAAAAACTGAACAAATATATTGGAAGTTTTAAAATCTATCCAACTAGTATCACTTTACTTGTTTGTGTACTTTTTATTGTAGCATTTATTTTGTTTTGAATACTTCTTATAGGAATTCTACAAATAACCAACGATCTCTACTTTCCATTAATATCTTATTCCACCCCCACCCCCTATTTATACATCTAGTTCTTAACAGTAAGCCTTGTTCACTTAGCAATAGGTATTTCGCTACAGCTGAAAGAAGCAATGATAATAAAAGTGAAGAAAACCTTGGTTTCAAAACAAATTTATTGGTGCAGCCTGTACTTGGTCTTCTTGTACATGTTGCAAGATACGTAAATTGACTGTACATGTACGTTTGTTATAGATAGGTAGAGGGGATTCTTACATCCTGTGCTAAATACTCCGCACGTGGCCTCTGTGTTTGAATCATATGAGTCATGTGTCGTTCGACATATAACTGAGTATTCGTGTCGTCTCTTCCCCAAACCGTTAAATGATCTATTCTCGATTAAATATATTATTATGCACGATTTTATAATATTGTAATTTCCTCTCTCAGCGGCATGTCCTGAAGGCTTATAACGCTAAAAATCGGGTTTCCATATTTACGGTAGGCACAGACAGATAGTCCATTGTGTAGCTTTGTGCTTAATAACAAAGAAAAAAAACAAACAATATCACGATTATTATTTATCTGAAAAAACAACAACTATGAAAAATATAAAGAGTGCCATGATTATGATTTTTTAACATAAAATAACGCATATTTACATTGAATTCTGTTGTTTGTTGATTTTTAGCGCAAAGCTACACCATGGGTTATCTGCGCTCTGTCTACTGCGGGGAATCGAATCCTGGATTTTAACGTTGTAAGTCCATAAACTTATGCTGACCCATTGGGAGATAGACTTAGTCAGTAAGATACGAGTGGCTCCATTTTATGTCAAACATTACCTAAGAATATTCACTTAAGTAGCTTCCCACAGAGTTTCCTACAATTTACATTAAACTACCAAACACTACATTAAGATTTTAATACAGTTTAGTTATTTAAACCAGTGATTTTGCATACTAGCTGAACAACACTAAGGATAAAATACTGAAACGGTAATAAGTATGAATCTGCCATAAAAGCTATTGAGAAATGCACTTAATTGATTACAAAAGAAAGAAAATATATAATTCAAGCATTAAAGCATAACATTTTTTATAAATTATTGAAGAAAGCCAGAGAATGGTTTATTCCAAACAATGAGCATATGTTTTCTTCTGCTTGAGCTCATATAGGAAATATTTAGGCTTACGCTGGCAAATAAAATCAGATGTAAGCATATAATATCATATTTTCAAGGTTGGGGAAATGTACAAGTTTTATTTGTTTATTTGGGTGCTCCACTTACGACAGTTGGGGCACTTTAAATGCTGATTCATCGTCGCTGAAAATTTTTCGAGAAAGTATATACCTCGATGCTCTTGGCTTATCCATTCGGAAATATTTCCACCCAGTTTCAACATATATGCAACTGAAGTATTACAGTGTCGTTTTATCATTTCTGTAAATAGTTCTATACGGCATGTTTACATTTAAACAGAACTTTATTGAAGTCATTGGTTATTTGTGCTAATCTGATCTGATGATTACAATGTAAAACTCAAAGAGTATTATTTTAACTTCATAAATCAACACAGTTAATGTTATATTTTCTACAAATTATTGTTTAAATAAAGTATCATAAAACTGTCAAACAAATAGGTTGAGTATTTTGAAATGATGTTATCAGGAATGTTAACTTCTTTTTAAGATTCGAAACATTTATTAGTTTTCTTTTCTATTTCAGTGAAGAAAAACTCTTAGCTATGTCTACAGAACTTCAAAACAGTGAAAACCCAAACCTAGTAATACATTTCGAAACACTGATTAGTGATTTACTGGAAAGTATTAGAAAACTTCAGGAAGAAAATGCAAAATTAGAGAATTTATGGAAAAGGTAAAAGTATTTACCGGAAATTAGCTTGTTTTTTTTTTCAAAAACTTCAAAGTTTAGGTAATGACAAACATTGTAAATTTTATACATAGATTCATAATCATTATTATTATAAACTTCAAAGACTTAGGATGAGGGAAATAGATACATAAATGTCTTTAAAATATTTGTTTTAGCGTAAAGACACATAAGGGTTAGCTGCGATGTATCATCTGCGGGATTCGAACTCTTAATTCTAGCGTTATAAGATCTTCAGATAATAGCTGAGTTACTGAGGGACTTTCTTTTAAAATAGTTCTAAACCATAAATATATTCTAAGAAGTGTTAGGAAAAGTATAGAGCACATTTAAAACACTCACGTTAACTATGCTTCGATGTGAATCCTCCTAATAAAACCACGACAAATAAGATGTTATGAGGCATAAGTTCTTCAGTTGAAACTATGATAACAGTTTCTTAAGTGCTAGTTGTTTTCGTTTTTACTTTGGCATCTCGGAATTTCTAGAGGGATGTGTAAATTTTCTAGAAGTAAAAAAAAAGTTGTGATTACATATAATTTTCTTAATTTATTTACAGCTTGTAAATCAATCAAGTGTCCTGGTTTTACGATGGTGTTTAATTACTTATAATTGCTTGTACACTTTGTAGAAAAACAAATTATATTCTATATTTAGTGTCCTAGGAATTATCACGAATTAGAAGAGTACATAATAATAGTATTCTAATCACATTATATTCGTCATATACACTACCGACGACGCTTTTCGCTCTATCCAGAGCTCTTCAGAACGACTGGGATACAACAAATACAGCTATTTATATAAAGCCATAGATTTATTGATCGAAATTCCTTGTCAGCGATGTATATGGCGAACATAGTGTGGTTAATATTATTATCATACAATCTTCTAATTATTGTAAACCCCAAAGAAGTTAAATCTATATAAATATAATAGTACTGTCTGTTGTCTGTCCATGTAACTACTTCGCAGGGTGTGGACGGATCTTCACCAAAATTGGTATGGAGGTTCATAGGTCTATGCGGGGGTACATACAAATTTCCAGTTTTGCGTTTTGCGCTTTTTATGGGCGTTTTTTTACCACTACCTCACCTCCTGTGGATGGATCTTTACTAATATTGGTATGGATGTTCATTGTGTCCATGGGGAGATACATAAAAATTTTCAGTTTTGCGAATTTTTATATTCGTTTTTGCTTTTTTGACTGCTATTTCGCCCCCTGTTGATGGATATATACCAAATTTGGCATGAAGGTTTGTTGGGTCCATGTAGAGATGCATGCATATTTGCGATTTCAGATTTTGTGTTTTGTAGTTTTTATGGTCGTTTTTTTACAATTACATATAAGAGAAGCAACTTTTCATGTCCTAAGGTAACCTTTCATTAATCATGAATGTACATAACTTCTGTCCAGGGAACGGATACTTCAGATAGTATAGAATGTAGTGTTTGAAAATATAATATGCCTATTACTAATGTCTTATGTCAAATATATTAATAATATTCTTTTGCCAATTTACAAATCTTTTGTAAATGCTTTTAAAATTCCGGAACGTTGTTATACGGAAGTGCGTATATTACTTTGTAACTGACACTCTTTTAATGTTTGTTTCTTGTTAAGTGCATTGAGCTATCTCTTATCATCGAGGTTAACGAAACCCTATTTCTAGCGTTGTAACTCCCCTGACTTACCGCTGAGCCCCCCAGTGGCACAGCGGTATGTCTGCGGACTTACAACGCTAGATACCCGTGGTGGGCAGAGCACAGATAGCCCATTGTGGGGCTTTGTGCATAATTACAAACTTACCGCTGATCCACTGGAAGGCAACTTTTGATGAAGTAAGAATAATTGTATCAGGTATTTACATGCTTTAACCTGGTGTTAAGACGAACTCACTTCGGGGAAAGATATAATGAAACGCTAATTACAAAGTACATACGATTATGATATATAATCAATGATAGTTTTGCATGGCCTGGTGGTTATAGCGCTCGCCTCGCAATGTGCTTGGCGTGGGAACAAAACCTTTCGCTGAATATGCTTGCCCATTCAGGCGATGGGGCGTGATAATGTGACGGTCAATTCCGCTATCCGTTGTTAAAGAGTTGACGGTAGGTGGTGTTGACCAGTTACCTCCTCTCTTGTCCAATCACTACAAACTTTGGGACGGCTAGCGCAGATAGCCCTCGAGTACCTTATAGTGAAAAATTCAGAAGACGGATACACAAAACAAAACAACAATAAATTATGTTTGTTTAGATAATGACTGATAAACGAGATAGATATCAGATAGATAGCGGTACCGTAGCCAGGAAATATTTTCGGGGTTGGGAGTTGTGTAATCCGAAAAACCTTCAAATCAAGAGAACAAAAAAGAGCAGTGCCTTCTCCAAAATGTTCCCCTCGTCATACAGCAGTAAGTTTACGAACTGACAACGCTAAAATCCGGGATTCGATTCCCCGCCGTGGACAGAGCGAATTGTGTAATTCTGCATTAAGAAAATAAAACTTTTCTGGAATTTCGGAAGGAGGGGGAGGGGGAGAGGACTAAAGCTCAGTATTTTCTCCTGGCTATGCCTATTTTGTCCTTCTTTAATGGTTTTATCACACACACACATAAAAGAAACATTGACATTTTGATTACTTCACATTCACCCTGCTCCTACACACACACACTTTAAAAAATCATGATAAACACAGATTTCCCCTACATTAGACGGTAGTTTTATCAATGATATGCAATTAAGTATAAATGATTGAACTTGTGCACTATCATACGTGTGGTAGCCTCTTAAGAAATGTTATATGTCAGTAAGTTAAAAGCAACAAATGGTTGCAAATATTAGTTTTTTCGTTTGTTTTGTTTGAAGTTATGTTTAACAAGTCTCCTTCGATTATCTATAAAGATAATCCAGTGTAAGCTATCTGGCTAATGTGAATCGATAAGGCTTTATTTTTCTTTGAACTATTTTATGTGACGAATTATTAAGGGAGAAGAAAGAGCACGAGCGACATCTACATAGTTCGGAAGAAGAGCTTGATACTCAAGTAAAACATTTAGAGCTTCGGGAAAAGAAACAGGTAAGACGCAAATGTAGCGTTTAAAGGATTTCATAAAAAGACATCAAGGTTATTCAAAATGGTGTATTTTCGATACCTCACTAGTATGAAGGCTTGGTTTGGTCTGATATTTCATTGGTGGTAGTGTCCAGGGTCACTGATGAGGAGTGGAATTCTCCAAAACTAGTCTGGCTCATAGAGACACACCCCAATGAAAGAATAGACCATTCCAAGTTTTAACTTGTTGTTAAACAATTGTTTAAACAACTCTACTTATTCAATTACATCAAGGTTATGCTTCTGGTCTTTTGAATTGTCCTTCACTCACTACAGTGAGATTATATTAACATGGTATTTGAAGAATAAATTCCATTGATATTACTAGCGTATTCTTCTGGATTATTCAGAAAAAATGATGTTTAGAATACTAAAAATAACTATGAAGCCTAATTTTGCCATTCAATTAACCACTTGTCACTGAGTTATATATTGGTTTCGAGTAATTCCACCCTATTAGTAACCCTGGACATGGGAAAATCGAAATAACTTCTTATAGTGATGGAAGCTCATGCCACCGAATCTATATTTACATAGGATTAGAAGAATAGGCAGCATTGATGCTACTAATTTATTATTCTGAATAAGAAGTCTAGTCTTGTTCTTTCGATTTGCCCATGTCCAGGGTTACTGATGAGGGGTGGAATTTCCCAAAACTGATATGACTTAGTGAATGGAATGATAGATTGGGCTTCGTATTTATTTTTAGTATGAAGTTGTTGTTGTTGGTTTCTTAGTGCACAACTACACAATCAGCTATATGCACGCTATCCACCGCGAGGAATCGAACGCCGGATTTTTGTGTTTTAAGTCTTTCAGCTGTAACACTGGAAGGGAGATAATATTTTTGGGAATGATGTTATGTGTACCATGCTTAACTAAGACTAGCAAATTTTAAGTATAATCTCGTTAACAACAATAATTTATGTGTACGTTCTTCATAAAGTGTCACCACAGTTGTGTTTTAAGTTTATCTAAAATCAATCTATGCGGTGGTCATTGCCAGGTGGTTAGGCACTTGACTCGCAATCTGAGGGTCGCGGGGTCAAATCCCCGTCCCACCAAACATGCTTGCCCTTTCAGCTGTGGGTGCGTTATAATATAACGGTCAATCCCACTATTTAAAACAAATATGCACAAATATATATAAACGTACCGATATTTTCAACCTGAACAATTCTTTATGTGGCACATGAGTTAAAAGAGGCCCTTAGGATTCAAGTATATTTGTTACTAATCTTGTATTACTGGCTAGAGAGAGAAAGTAGCTAATTAGTAGCACCAACCACCACAAGGTCTTTTTCCGGTTATGAACCAAACAGCGGGATCGACTGTTACTCTTATAACGCACTTTAGAAGACTGTGCTTTCCTAACACATTCAACTTTATCTATTACTCATCCTTTTACTGTGTAAGACTAGAGGGAAGGCAGCTAGTCGTCACCCCCCACCGCCAACTAATGGGCTACTCTTTTTACCAACGTATAGAAATTCAATCCTTTTCATTCATTTAAAAAATTATATATTGATATTTTTATTTTATATACCCAAACGATAATGAAAAATGTGATAATTTATGTTTTCTTTTTTATTTTGTTTTGTAAAGTAACAAGCTTAAAATACCAGCCAATTTTGCATATTTGTTTATCTTATAGCATCTTTTCGTATCCAAATAGTACATAGGCTGAGAACGGTATATTAAAACGGTTTTAAAGCTTCATCACTTTTTCATATTTTATGTCGCTACGTCCATTCATGCTATACCTGACGACCGCGTGTCTTAACAATAGCCCTACGTCGAAGTTTCTATTGTAAAGGCTCAGTTATAAAACTGTCGTATCCAAGTCATATCAATCCTCCTCTTATATCTTCCATAATCCATATAGTGTACGAGGACGACGGTTTTCCAGTGCCCGTTTTAACAGTTCGATCGCACAGAAATCCACAGGCGACTTTATCTGTATGTCTTAGTATGGAATAGGATGGCTATTAGCCATTGTATGTACCTCAAGAAGCTGGTGAATGAAACTAATAGCATGACTATTAGTTTCATTCACCAGCTGCTTGAGGTATATATGATGGTTCAACAGGAGGTATGATTCGAAGCCTTTTCTTAGTGAATCTATACCCTATTGGTCTCATTTCCAGAAAGACATCCTTTTTGATTATATTTCGTATTGTCTGGAGCACATGGACGGTTTTGCCATTGATCTTTGCATTCTTGAATTCTCATCTGTTACAAGACGCTGATGGGGGTACGACCTATTGCAGGTCTGTTTCTGGGTGGTTCTGGAAAACTAAGTTGATCCATGTTTTTTTTTTTTTACCAATTCCATTAAGTACAAGAGATATCCCAGTTTTCGAAATTCTAAGTCCCCGATCTGAACACATCTTTATGATCTGAGTGTATTAATATTCTATGTAAAAACGGGCATAACCTATCCAAAGGCGAAAAAGTGTTCGGTGGTATTACACTACCTATAATACGCCAAATAAGTCTACATGTTGTTTAGTACATTCCGTTCACCACAACTTTTATCTTGGGTTTAGTTGTCACGCGACTTGATGATTTGCATATCCAAAATACTTTAGAAATTACATACTCAACCCTCTATATAAAACATGGTAAAACAAACTTAAGGGCTTAGTATCATTTAATATAATACCTATGATTTTCAATCAGCAACCTTGTCTGAGAGGACTGGCAAAAGTTAATGCAATTTCCTTATAAACAGTTAAACCTCATCTTGAAGAAAATGTCAATTTATTTTTTAACCGCTTCTCTAACTCTATATTCAACATGTTTGATTTTATTTGAAAGTAATGATAACAACGTCATAACTTCCATACTCATCTTGTTGGCAACTTCATAAATTACACGTTTTTTTTTTACATCAGGCACAAACAGGAGTTGAATCCGAGCGTCGTTCGTTGAAATTGAAGAGGGATGCGAAAATGGACGAACTTCAAACACATTTAACTTTATTTGAAAAGGTGCAATAAACTTCCAAAGATATAGATATAATTATTAATATTAAAAGTTTGAATTCAAAGCAGAGATGCCTGGATTGGCCTGATATTTATGGTACTCGACTTGCAATCTGTGGGCATGGGTTCGGATCCCATCACCGAACATGCACGTCCTTTCAGCCGTGGAGACGTTATGATATGATGGTCAATCCTATTATTCTTTGGTAAAAGAGTACCCCAAGAGTTGCCGGTGGGTGGTATTGACTAGCTGCTTTCCCTCTAGACTATCACTTGGAAATTAGGAACGGCTAGCGCAGATAGCCCTCGAGTAGCTTTGCGCGAATTTCATAAAACAAACAAACAAACAAATCAAAGCAGAGTGAGCTCATAGTCTAAGGACATGTAAAATATTAAAAGGTTTTCCTTCACATGATTAAACTAAAAATGATAATTTCAAAAGTTGATTGTATGCTGAAAAAAGAGCAATATATAGTTAAAGTTTGCAGTCTTTATCACCTCATTATGAGTGTCGAAATACAAACATTTTTTATTTTCCACTTTCAAATGTCATGTTTACATACTTTAGAAAAAAGCTACACAATGGACTATTTGGGCTCTGTCCACCACGGCGATCGAATCCCGAATTCCAGCGTTATAAGCCCTGAAGCTTATCGCTGAGTCACTGGAGCTCACTTGCAATTAAAATACATCGACTGAGGATAAATAGCATTTACTAACTAAAATGTTCCATTCTGTAATTGCAATATCACATCGTCTTTGTAGTTAATACCTTAGTAAACCTTGTGTGAGTGTTTACATTCATTTTTCTTATTAACCTATTTACTTAAAGCAGCCCCCCAGTGGCATAGCGGTATGTCTGCGGACTTACAACGCTAGAATCTGGGTTTCGATACCAGTGGTGGGCAGAGCACAGATAGCTCGTTGTTGCTTTGTGCTTAATTACAAACAAACAAACAATACTTAAAGCAATCGGCATTCTTACAGTTATGTATACCAATATAGATAAATTTTACCCATCTAGTATGTATAACTATTTTACTATACAAATTCACATCAGTAAAATAATTGAGTGTTTATGCTATTTTCATACGTCTTAACGACAGACCCTTCCAAACTAAAGAGGTAAAGATTAGGTTTGTTAGTTTGAAGTTAAGAGATCGACCTGATGAACGCCTCAGCAAAGCGACCGAAACGTCGTTCATGCATTGCTCCACTCCAAGTGGATACATCTCATAAAATTTTCTAATCCAAACTAGATTGTGTAAATTTTAGGTGAAGTCTTTACCATGGGCGTTTTTTAACACTTCAAAGTACTCGGTGCAATTTTCGTTTTAAATTTATTTTCACATTAAAATACAATAAATAAATAATTTTTTTATGTACAATATATATGTAAATATATATATAAGAAACAATTTTGAGATAACACCTAACAGTCTGTTATTTGTTATATTACTAGGGGGCCCGCAATAAGAGGGGCCTGTTAAAAACGCCTCTAATCTTTACTAGGTGTTAGATGAATATCGAATCCAATCCTACAGTCAGTATTCACCAAGATTATGTTAACAATATATATATATATGTGTGTATATATTATTTGCTTACATCTGTTTAATATGGTCTTAACCTAATGTTTAGATAGGCATACATAATTACTCAAATTCATCGTTAGGTGGATTCTTGGCTGAAGTCCGTTAAGGACCCTATCAAAGCTGACCGACTATCAGAAGTCCTTACAAAGCTTGAAGATGCTGTGGATGAGAACCGTCAGGTTCGAATTTCATTGATGGACACTCAAACTAGTGTGGCCTTAATGAGGAGTGACATTGCTCAACTGAGGAGTATGTATGAGGAGAAATGTCGCGAGCTGAGAAGGTACAAAACACTGTTCACAGTTTGATTTTTAACAGCTAACAGACTTTATAATAAGTTAGTACTGGCATTAGGGGGGTGATGCAAAGCGTGCATTGACTCAGGTACCCAGTTACAAAGGATATCCAAACTTTTCAGTATTCGTGTTTTTAATCCATTGTAAAATTGTTGTTTTTGATCAATCCTGTACTTAGTTTTCTTCATTATACTGAAACTTCTTTCTTTTCTATAAACCTGAAATAAGACTTAAACCTCATTATAAGTTTTTGCACCAGGACTACAGAAAACCTGGCGTCGGGCCTGCAATAAGTAATGTACTTATATTTTATTTACATGTAAAGGTTTAGGTTATTAATGTTTATTGTAGACTTGGAATGAAAGTGTACCGTCTTTAAGAAATTATTAAAATTACAGCCTTGCTTTGAGGTTTAAATATGTATCACTTAAATGAATAAATTCCGTGAAAACAAACACATCTTAGCTTATTGTATAAGTTCATGGTTTCATTTTGATGCTTTTTTCTTATAAAAAAATTCTCTAATAAAATCAAACTGTTGATGACAGCGCATAACTGAATATACGCGAAACAGTGTGAACGTTCTGGAAATACAGAAATACGTTCTGGAGTTTTGTGTTATATGCAACATTACATGTATATAAAGTTGTTGTGTATTTTACACTGGAGAAACGTTTCAGATGTTAAACTTAGATGAGTACTGTTTTTAGGTATTGATATATCGCAATTCTTACCCCACAGTGAGAGAGAGCGAGTTTTGGATGTTTTTAACAAACATGATCACCTCAGTAGACTACTTTTTCTCTTACAGTAAGTATTAACTGAGTAAACCTATACGCTGATAAGTCATTAATGTTACCAATGATTAAGCTTAGAAATGTTCTTTGAACTTTTAAATTTACAAATAAAATATTTACGTTAAGTTTAGAGTGCATATCGTAGGATCCAAGATTGGAAATAATGAGACATTAACGCACACTATACTGTCAGATGCGGGCTTCTACGAAAGTGACAATTCATTTATTTATTCGGTTCAGAGAGACTGACAAGCCTTAATGGTGGCGAGTGCTTCTGGCTAGTTTTTCTTCCTCTGGCTAGTAAATCAAATTTAAAAATGACTTTACCTGAGCCTCCTGCCCCCCAGTGGCTTATAACGTTAAAAACTTTATTTTATCATATAAAGTTAACATACAGAAACAAGTGTCAAAGAACATGGTATTTATATTGACATAAACTAGATGGAAGGCAGCTAGTCAACAGTACTCTCCGTCAATTCTTGAACTACTCTTGTCTTATAATGCACTGATAGACCTTAAGTGTGGAGTGCGTTTTAGAAACAACGGGACGCGAACCACAGACACACGAAATCACAGCTGGGGCGAATTAACCACTAGGGAAAGCTCCATCAATTTTATTGAAGGGCAGACTGTATCCTTTTATGACCTTTTAGCTTTAAAGAAAAGACTGCTTAATAAAAAATAATAATTCGTTTAACATTTCATGTTTATAACTTCTCCATGAGAAACCTCCTACATTAACAGGTAAACTTCCATCAGTTATCAGATGGTTACCACTGAACAAAATGATAAAAGAAGGATTATATTAGTACTCGTTTAATCGAACCCAAGTTTGTTTGTTTTTTTCACCTTGTTTATTTGGAATAATCATAAGAATTAAATTTTCAAATTTTATATCATGTCATATTTCATTTTTAATTAGAATCTCCAGCTTTATCACGGGCAATGTTTGATAATATTTGATACTTTTTTTAGGCGTCAAACACTGTTTGAATGATTTTGCCTGAAATTGTAAAATAGAATCCACTGAACGCCATTTTTGAGTTACGTATTTTTAGCACGATTAATGAAGTTTGCCAGTTACTTTTATGAACAAAATTCCGTCTCTTTATTATTAAATAGTGAAGTAATGATGTTGTTTCATCTTTATTTTAGTGATGTTGTGGAAGCAGATTACATAAGTTCAAGATTAAATAAGGATAGTTGCACGTGACACGTTACCATAACATAGTGTTACGTCTCCGTTTGTTAATTAACTTTCCGTAACTTCGTTCCGACGAAACTTTAGCGACACAAGTCCTTACCTAATAAAACTGGTTTATTCTTTCCGAATACAACTTTACGATACACTTATTTTCGACAATCGCTCTATAACAAACGCTATATCAACGAACGTCAGCAATACTTCTGACTGCAGTTAAATTACTCACTATCTACACACACATTAATTCGTCACGTTGTCACCCTCTTATATATACCAGACTACCCTATATCTAGTAAATGCTAGAGCATTCGCCAAGGTATAGGATAGTTCTAGAAAGTAGAGGGCGTGAGCATAGTCACTTGATCTCGATGACGCAACAATATATTCACACCTTACTAAAAATAACATGACTTTGATTCTGTTATGCTCGGAGACAAACATTGTTTGTGAGGGGGGAGTGTGGTAGGTAGTTGAAAGGCGATTTACTATAGTTAAAATATGGGTTATTTTATCAGTTCAGTTGGTAAGATATTTTGTTTTTTCGTCATTGCAATGGAGGGGAACGAATTGCTTCATATTTACAATATATGGCGTTGTGTTACGTATTAGAATTTCAAATAGCATGAAATTGAGTTAATTGATAAATTTAAATTTAGTAGTTAAATTGTACTTTAGATTTAGCAGTTAAGTAAACGCCGATATATAGTCAGTTTACGATATTTGCCAACAAGATTGATACACACCGTTTTCGTTTTAAACACAAATACGTTTTAATATACACACAACAATACAATTTACAATAACATTTATTACAAATAGTTATTACAAACAATGATTTATAAACAAAAGTTTCACAAACTTACAAGCAATATAATATCTTCCTTTTAATCTGGAACCTTTTCGATATCTTATCGAGGGTTCACGATGAGCGATTTGATTACGAGTTGACGTAGGTATAATTCACTTAACGGGAAGCCAGCTAGCTTTGTCCTTCGTTATTTATCAGCCACATACACCGGGTTTTCCACCGTGACGTTATGTAATGTTTTAGTAAAAATACTAATGTCCGATGAGAATCCACTGACCTTAAACAACTTGTAATGTTCGAACTTTGTAAATGCTCCTGGTTAAATATCTGAAGTTTTCCGATTGATAATGTTATAACAATCACAGTTACAGTTTCCAAAGTTTATAGCACACTGACTATAGCAAACTAATAATAGATACTACTTCTTTTTGGCGCGTCGCGTTGGTCATATTTATAGCCGTGGGAAGGTTTTCTAGAAAATTCAGATTACGTAACAATACAATTTAAGTGTTTACGTACACAAATGTTGTTGATTCTTACTCTCGAGAATCTTCTACAACTTTGGAGAATAGGCGGGAGTTTCGCAATACATATTTAACACTATAAGCTACGAATGTTTTAAAATCTAAACAAACGTTGATATTAAAATAAATATATAATAACAAATTCGTTACAGTAGCAATGTTAGGAATTTGATATTAATCTAAGAAAAATGTTTGAATGTTTTAGTCAGGCACTTGTTATTCAACAAGGTTCATGGTCATATTAAAATATTCAAAAATGTTCCTTCTAACAGTGATGACACCAAAAGACTTCAGGACACCAACGACACCCTGGGAGAGTTTGTAGATGTAGAAAGAAACCTTTGTCACAAAGTAAGTGTATCAGCAAAGCAATGCGATTTTTAAAAAACAATAAATTTCACTGGCCACCCATTTTGTTAAAGGAACCTAAATTTGTGACTCAGCATACAACAACTAAATCAATATGGTCACTGAGAATTAATCAGTTTGTTAAACCTTTAGGGGGGGGGGGTGATACCTAAATGGAGTACCTAATAATGATGCAAAGACCAACAGGAAGAACGAGATAAATGAATACAGTAAAAGAAACAAAATTATGTAACTAAAGAATTTTAGTCTACAGCAACTTCTTTCGATTAAAACGTAAACAAACACACAGTAAAACTAAGGTTACGAGACGCACAAAATTTTGAAATACAAATAGAAACATGAAACTTGAAGATTTCAAATTTGTGTGCAGTCGAGAAAGACACTATAAATGATAATAGAAAAACGGATAAAGACTATATGCACCGCTTGATAACAAACCCTGTGAACTTTTTTTATTCAGAAGAAAATTTAATGTAGATGTAGAAAATTTAAGAAAATAAGAGGCAGGAGCAGTACTGTAGGTTTAAGGGGTGCAAGGACCATATGTACCTGGACCAGCCAGCTCAGGGGTCACCCAACCTACCCACCCATAAAAGAAAAGCGAGTAGCAAAAGGATATTGGTTTCTTTTTTTACGAGGGGGGGATCCCTAAGACTTCCTCACACCCACGCCACAATATATTCTTGTGCTGTGAAGAGACTGTGATGGATGTGACCCATAAAGCCAAAAATTTGATAAGGGATGTCATCCGTAAGGTGTTGTTACACATGGGAGCGTGTGCTCAGCATATGTATGATTGATTAACCGAACTATTACTCTCAAGCTTGTGAGTGTAAATGACACGGGCCCAGGCATGTGGTTGGGTGTCTAGTAACTGTACTAAGCGCCCACTCAAGTGAGTCTTGTCTCCAAGATGGGCGCCCAATTACTAAGTAAAAAACGCCCTGTGGCAAAGAATATTTGAGCAATTTATGATATAAGTACATTTAAACTAATAGAGTAACAACAGCGGAATGTTACAGTAGAAAGTAGTAACTTTTGTTAGAAAGTTTAATATTATAAACGGCAGTTTGATGGTTTAAAATAAAGTGGCTGGGCTTTAAGCTTCAATCAAAGCTATCAACTCGATAACGTTAATCCCAGTCTGTTATTGATTTTTTCACATGTTACTGAGTTAGACTGTTTCCAAAAGTTTCATCTATCATCAGTAATTCTGGACAAAAGAGAAAAACAAAGAACAGAGTCGTATTTCTTGTGAAGAAATCATCATATGTGTAATATGGGGCTGTTGCAAATCGCTTTAGTTGTAATTAATAGTTAATTAATCAATAGTTTGCGAGTTATAGTTTAGCTGTAGCTACTTGCAAAATACATATCAGTACGCAAGTACGCAGGGTGGTGTAAAACAATGATTCTTATATAGTTATAGCGCAGCTATTTATGGTATTTAGCCATACCAAACATTGTTTATCTAACCAGTAACCAATACCAAACATTGTTTATCTAACCATTAGCCAATACCAAACATTGTTACTATTTTATACGAAACATTATTCATCTAACCATTAGCCAATACCAAACATTGTTACTATTTTATACGAAACATTATTCATCTAACCATTAGCCAATACCAAACATTGTTTGTCTAACCATTAGCCAATACCAGGGTGGTGTAAAACAATGATGCTTATATAGTTATAGCGCAGCTATTTATGGTATTTAACGTTTTGGATGTTTGTGGATTTTACGTGAACAGTCAAGAAATTGTTTAAGCTATATTTCATGCAAAATTGATTCCAGATTTAATCTCCTGTTTAGCACCTTTTTTTTTCTTTCAAAGTTTCGGGGCGCGCGCCTAGACTCCCGTAGCATTAACATGTGTTGGCCTTTGTTTTGAGATTCGCGCAAAGCTACACGAGGGCTCTCTGCGCTAGCCGTCTCTAAGTTAACAGTGTAAGACTAGAGGGAAGGCTGCTAGTCATCACCACCCACCGCTAACTCTTGGGCTACTCTTTTACCAACGAATAGTGGGATTGACCGTCACATTATAACGTCCCCACGGCTGAAAGGGCGAGCATGTTTGGTGGGACAGGGATTCGAACCCGCAACCCCTCAGATTGCGAGTCGAGCTCCCTAACCACCTGGCCATGGTTGGCTTTTGATCTCACAGATTAGACCCCCTTTTCAAACATTCTGCGTACGGGCCTGACTAATAACTTGATGATCTCTGATTTATTATGTTCAGATATATATATATATATATGTGTGTGTGTTTAATGTGTTAATTAGATAGTTAATAGAGAAACTGAAAATATTTTTATTACCTTCCTTAGCAAACATCACACGTAGAACTTGGTAAAACGGACTCAATCATTGGGGATTACCTATGTGCTGAAATGCCTTCTATAGGGCTTGCAAAATCAAAACAGTAAGTTTTAATTTTTAAAGTAGTGTTGATTTTACTCGCACTTTGAACAGTTCAGAACTACTCATAAGCAGTTCATCTTTTCTGCTAAAATAGTATAGTTGAAAAGTAGTTAATATGTAATTATTGATAATAATCATTTTTAATATAAATTTTTCAAAATACGATCTTCAGGAGATTACCAGAATATCAATAATATTTTAAAGTTTTTTAAAGTCTTTTGTCTAGTTTTGAATCAGACGTTTTGGGCTCACTATGGAGTCCAAAACGTCTTCTAAAACAAGAAGAAAAAAAAAAAGGAAAGAAGTTAAAATCGTTTTTTACACGTCTGATACGGTACCCAATTCTTACAGTAAAAGATTCTGAAAACTCTCCACAAAATATTTATCATTAAAATCGTTGCTATTTATAAACGGTAGTTTACGAAGTGGACATGCTAAAAAACAAAAAAAAACGTATTGTTTTCAAAGGTCGTCGATAGAAGAAAATGATGATGGATATTCTCTCATCGAAGATTCTGAGGACAACCGACGTTTGTTAATGTCTTGGTTTGGTTTAAACAATGACGACAACAGTAACATGGACAGTATTATGGATGACATTGGTAGGTGTTGTAGGATACTTCTGAATAAAATCCTCTTATTTTAACATTCTGTTGATAGAGTACATGGACAGTCGTTGATTAACACAAAGTTTAGACACTCGGGAAGAAACTACAACTGTAGTTGAGCCGTAACAAAAGTTATTGAAGACACCACTTATTAGTGCAAAATGCTAATTCCTTCACCTTTGTGTACTGCTTCATTTTAATAACAGTTGCAAAGCATGATTATAATTAATTGTACTTGTCATAAGACATTACTATTAGGCCTATTATATTTTTTAACATAATAACTGCGTAGTGTTAAGAATATAATAGGCCTAATACTAATGTCTTCTTATGGCAAGTATAATTTAGAAAGTAAGTAAATAATTTTCACTCAGTGGGCAATTAAGTGAAATATTTTTGGCAGTTAACCAGCGCTGGGATGCAGAGTCGATTGAAAAAAGGAAAAAAAAGCGTGTTTTTATTCAAACAATCTCACCAAATTCAGTTATTTTACAAGCTAATATAAGGATCTTTTATAATAAAATGAAAACAACTAAATTTATTATGTGATCTAAAAAATAAGTCAAACTTCAACAAATTTGTGAGATTGGAATACCTACAAGATACTCTAACTGATTTCTGTTGTTAAATTAACATGACATTCTATAAAACTGTCTTTGCAAACTTGTCTACATACCTTTTGAAAAGTGCAGTTCAATACTCCACCCCCTCCCCTTTTGTTGTACAGGTTATTTAATTATTCCGTACATTATTACAGTAAGAAAGTTTAATCTAAAAAAAATATATGTTGAGGATTTCCGCATGCCAACAGAATAGTTTAATAACTATTAATGAAATTCATTTAAGAGCTATTAGTTGAGACGGGATTAATTTGACTTAGTTTAAAATGTTAAATAAAACTGAAGTTTCCTCAAAAAAATAAAAAATGAAATATTTCGAGTTTCGTTTATGGCATAAATTCTCCAATCCCGTACACCTCTAAAATTACTAAAAACCATCTAAAAGTTCTTATTGTTACTCCAAAATCTTTGCTCTGTTGCGAAATTATACGATTTACAAAATATACTTATTTAGACAGTGGACTTTCAACGCTACGAGACGTCACTGAGACCGATGATTTTAGTGACAATGTTGCCGAAGAAAATGAAAAACAGGCGAAAATTTTGAGGTTAACTACGAAAAAAGAATCTTCAACGTCCACCCAGTCGCAATCTGGAAGTCGTAAGAGTAGCCTTTCCGAACGAAGACATCTTTCTAAACCTAAAGTTAGAACAGAAGTTCAGAGTATGTTGCAGTCTGATGCGAAAGTAAAGGTGATTATGAAGCAACTTTTTTAAGCAACAATTTTAATGTTACTGGCTAAGACCACAAAGTCTCGCATCTTTAGAAGCATACTGAATCGTATAATAAATATAAACCATAAATAATAATAGCTAATAATAGCTGTTTAAGGTATTTTTTATCAGCACCATTCTTCGCACTGTATAAATAAAAAAAAATACAAATATATTTCAGAGTGATATTTTGGAAAATGGACAACCGCTAAGCTACAGCATCACACACACAGAGTCAGAAGAAGGCTTCTCATCTCGCCGTGTTATGGAGATAAAACGACAACTTGGGTTGGATCCTGAAGTTGCTGGGTGTGTGTTTGTGACTTTGAACTTAAAAGTGGAAAATTTGTTTCTCGGGGTTCAGATTACCCACAAACAGAAAACTGGTTGAAGAGTCTCCAAAAGTTTAATACTTAAAAATTTTTGTGGTTACCATCGTACAAGCTGGAACTGGACTTGTTTTTATGTCAATATTAAGATTTTAATTACTTGTTTGAAACAGGCATCACGTAAACAAAGATTATGTATTAAAGTATTTTGTGAACATTTATTATTATCGTATAAAGAAGTGTAGATATAAAGAATTTAAACTTTTTGTAATAGTACAAACACTTTTTCTTCACTTCTAAAAAATAGCTTCAATAACTGTCAAAAGAGATGTTGATATGATAAGTTACCTTATGAGTTGATCACGTCGATGCACATATGTTTACCTTCAACAGTCCTGATTGGCCATAACAGTTCCTAACAGCTTTCTACCTACTAAGTATGTATATGACAACTAATGAGGAGTGCTGGTTATACACGGTACAACACGTCTATATAATCTATAGCGTCATATCACATTTCCCCTAGTTACTCAATTGTGCTTATTGTCTGTGCACAAGGTTTTTAATTTTAAGCTTTACTTATTTTGCTTATTTTTGTTATATACTTAAAGTTATTTTAATTAAATAAACTTCGCTAACATAGTATATTTTTTGTACATTTAAGCTTCTTGGATATTATATATTTATCTAATTATAATGTTCTCTTACCTATGCTTATAGTGGTTATTAATAGCGGCTTATATTTTTTTCACTAAAACCTGTACATATATATATGTGTGTGTGTGTGTTGAAATAATGGTTTGAGGTTGTACAACAGAATTTAATCAATATTAATAAAGTGTTATTCGGTGTTAAATATATGTCGTATTTTCCAGATACACTAGACAACTATCATCTAAACAATCAACTCCTACATCAACTGTGGACGGTACCCCTGTTCCCACCCCTCGTTTATCTTTGGAACACCACCCAGCGCAAGCGAGGAAACTCCCTCCTCATCCACTACCACGAGGTCGCTTCAAGCAACAAAAGGCAGTACACGTAGTTACAAAGAAGTCTGATGTTAATAAGAGAATCCTAAATCAGAGCGTAGAAGTAGCGAATATCCACGAAGAACGGATTGTTCACGCACAAGAGGAGAATCACCAACAACAAAAATTGAAAGCTGTGGAAAGTTACAGTATTGAACCAAAGAGTCCTATCGATAGAACGTACAAAGTAGAAGTAGCGAATATCCACGAAGAACGGGTTGTTCACGCACAAGAGGAGAATCACCAACAACAAAAATTGAAAACTGTGGAAAGTTACAGTATTGAACCAAAGAGTCCTCTAGATAGAACGTACGAAGTAAATAGAGGTGACAGTTTTGAGCCTAATGGTCCTCAAGATAGAACGTATAAAGTAGATAAAAACGACAGTCTGGAACTCGAGAGTCCTCCAGATAAAACATACAAAATATTACGTTCTATCTGGAGGACCCTCAGGCTCAAATCTGTCGTATTTATATGCTTTGCATGTTCTATCTGGAGGACCCTTGAGGTCCAGACTGTCGTCTTTATCTACTCTATACGTTCTATCTGGAGGACCCTTAGGCTCCAAACTGTCATATTTATCAAAGTAGTGTTTGTCGGAGATGCTGCTGTTGGGAAGTCTTCGCTGATCATTAGACTCAGCAAAGGCGTCTTTGTGGAAAACCTTACATCAACTTTAGGTTGGTTAGCTTATTATGTTATATATTTATTATTGAGATACTAGTAGACCGTAATGGTAAATGTACAAATACCAACCTACATAAGTTCAGACAAAATTCACAAAGCACGCTAAAATACAGCCACAGTACGTATTTCTTAGTTAGAAATGGCTTTATAAAAAAGTGAGCAATATTTACCATATTATCTTACCTGACAACCGTATATTAGACGTCTGAAAAGAGCTTTTCTCAAAATGGCTTAAAATTTGTTATTTTGTAGAAACCTCAAATATACACTTATCAAGATAACTATACAGTTCAATTTCCAGTAGTGTGTTGTCTGTCAGTCAGTATACACTAAAATTCCGTCACATAAGGGACGCTCAACGTTGCAATTTGTGCTGTCGTGACGTCAGTAAAACGTGCGCATGCCATGAATCACGTGAAGAATTATGCACTCTGTAGGCTACAACACAGCATGACATACGAACTTCAAAAGCAAGAGATAAAAATATTTGTTACTCTTAATTTTGGTTTTAGCTACTCTTGAAACAAAACACTTTCGGGGATCCTGTGGAAGTACATCTAGTAATAAGACCATATTTACAGAGTTTATAACTGGACTGAGAAAATAATAGATAAGTGTAAAACGGGCATGCGTGAAGTAGATATTATAGTGATAATCTTAACAATGGCGGAGTTGCAAAAAATTCATGGTTTCTCCTGCTAACGAAGACACGTGCTCCGTACTTTGAGGCCATACAAGAGTTGCTGAAAAGTTGGCGGCAAGTGCTGTTGACAAGCTGTATTCTCTTGTCTTGAAGGCTACGTGTTAGTCGTTAGACTCAGCAAAGAACGTCTTTGTGAGAAACCTTATACCAATTGATGACAAGTAAATAGCTCAAGAAAAACAAAATACAAATAACATATAATAGGGAATATATTTGTGTGTGTAGTTAAGCACAAAGCTATACAATGGGCTATTCCAACTATACTCACCACGAATATTGAAACCCACATTTTAGCGTTACAAGCCTCCATACTCACCACTGAGCCACTGGGGGTGGGGAGTCGGCCGTATGGTGGCCATCGTTTGATAAAGGATTGTCTTTTTCTGATTATCCATTTCATGAAAAATGAAAGAAATTGTTCATTGACAAATAACTCAGTGTTTAAAATAATGAAATAATACGCATTATCGTTTAAAGCTGTATTTTTTCACAGGTGTTGATTTTTACATGAAATATTTGAGAGTCGATGGCAGAAACATAGCAGTGCAATTATGGGACACCGCAGGACAAGAACGGTAAGTACAAATGTTCGAATTTGATTAAGTTGGTGATTGTAGATACTTCGTGGGAGGACATGACAGAACAATCAAATTAAGCCTAAATGTTCCTACCAAAGAGTCGGTGATTGAAAATATCTGAGTGATGTTGCTTCAGGTTATAACAGGACGAGACAATTATACCATGTGACTGGGACGAGAAAAGTACGCCCCACCAGAACATTAGGGATTTTAATTAAATACTTCTTCCTGAGAAGAGAAACGACATGACAATAATTTTATTCCTTTATCTTAATGGCGGGTTATTATGTAGGTTGTCTTATTCCTTTATCTTGATGGGGCCCGGCATGGCCAGGTGGTTAGGGCGTTCGACTCGCAGTCTGCGGGTCGCGGGTTCGAATCCCCGTTACACCAAACATGCTCGCCCTTTCAGCCATGGGATCATTATAATGTGACGGTCAATCCCACTATTCGTTGGTAAAAGAGTAGCGCAAAAGTTGGCTGTGAGTGGTGATGACTAGCTGCCTTCCCTCTAGTTACTTACACTGCTAAAGTTAGGGACGGCTAGGCGCAGATAGCCCTCGTGTAGCTTTGCGCGAAATTCAAAAACAATTATCTTGATGGTG